GCCCGGAAAGAGAGTAAAACCAAGGAGTCGTAGCCCTCCTTTTGTCCAGCTCCTCCAAGCACAGACTGCAAGAAGCCACCATCTGTTGATACTTAAGAATCTGCTGGATATCTGGACTTCAGCAGTTCTTCTTAGCATATCCTTCCATTTTGGCACGTGAAGTTGGCCGCCCTCCCCGGGACCAGCAGCGGGAAGGGCTTCAGACCACAAGGATCTTTTGCACTCTTAAATGAACAAGAGCCGGATGCTTCCAGCCTCTCAAGTTCATTTCAGCGGGGCTTGGCTTAGGGGAGACTTGCAGGGAATTAAGCTCATTTTCCACTTTGCTTTGCCTGCACTGGTTGTCACTGATGCTCATGCGCTTGTTGGGGAAGGGAGGCCTGGGTGTGAGTTCCCTCTTCTCTCTGATGATCTGCCTGCTGACAAAAGGACGCCGTCCCACAATTCATCTCTGTGCTGCAAGGAGAGCCAATGGAACTAATGTCCACGGTGCTCACTCTGTACCCCCAGACACCAGTTAGCCAGTCAGCAGCAATCCTGGGCCACCAAAGCCCTGCTTGCAGCTGCAGCCTCTCATTCGGCGTATTCTCCCATGTTAAGCTCTGAGCTTGTCCTCAGCAGAAGGAAAGCAATGGGGAGGGGCTTTATAGATGACTCCTGAGATGCACATTGCTAAAGAATTTGGAGGGGGAAACACAGCTATCTTCACAACCTAGCCCCACCTTGCTAAGTGGGTTAAAACAGCCAAATTAAAGTAGAAATCATGTATGTTCCTCACAAACACTGTGTCGTCATTTTGAATTTAATACCCAGGGTAGAATCCCACCATCCTGGGACTGGTGTCTCTAGGGTCCTAGCACAGTTATCCAGTTTTCCCCAAGGTTCGTTCTGCCTGCATGTGATGCTCTGTATTGGCCCGCCTCTGGGAATGGATTTTACTATACATCAGGAGCAGATCTGGAATAAAAGTGATTAGTAGAACCTCTAGCTGTCCTTCCGCAGCTTATAACTGGCATCTACCAAGACTTGTGTCCAACAAACTCAAGCAGAGCTTGATTCAGAACCACCCCTCACTCACCCAGGCCTTTTCAGTATCTGAAAATGGTTTAAATTGTCACCTCTGTGGAGGGCCCCGGTGCCTAGAGAACTGGAAGAAGCTGGTTTGTATTAGGTCAACAACATGTATACAAGCCCCCTCTGGTACTCTTATCCTGAATCCGTAATACCCTTAGAACATAGTTTGAGTCCAGTGGCACCTTTAAGACCAACGAAGTTTAATTCTGGGTGTGAGCTTTCGTGCGCTGAAGTGTGCGTGCACATGAAAGCTTATACCCAGAATTAAACTTTGTTCATCTTAAAGGTGCCACTGGACTCGAACTTTGTTCTGTTGCTTCAGACCAACACGGTTAACCTGCCTGAATTTGGTACTCACTCTGCCAAATGCAAAAATCATTTTCAGGTCTGGCTCTTGTGAGAAAGAATTACTTGTAGTAAATACACACAATCTGTCTGCATAATTCAACAGCAGCATATTTTAACTTCTTTTACCCAGGGTGTATTGCCTACAGGACAATAAGATTAGCAGTCCTTGCGCCATTCACATCCTGTGATAGCTCTCTCATGCTCCTGGCAGGGCTATAAATAGCAAAACGGTTATCTCAGTGTTTTAATCATGAGCACAGGTGAATTATTACTGATATCACTGTCTGTTCCAAGCAGACGATACACAGCTGTGTTGTCAGTCCTAAAGGAAACCAAATTTGCTTTTATTACAGTATATTTATAAACCACCTCTCAACAAGCCCCCACGGCAGTTAATGGAAGTTCAGCACCAGATACTTGTTGGAAAACCACACTTCAGAGTCCCTATCTGCAAACTGACAACGGCAAGGGGGAAAAAACCCAGCAAGAGCCTACTTTGCCTGCTGCTATCACTAGCAGCAGTCTCTCAACCCTTAGCCGAACTGACCTACTGAACAGACACAATGGGCAAGCTCTTTGCCGGCTGCACCAGATTCCAAAGGCTAAAGATAGCCTGAGAGTTTTCGCTCTGCCCTTGAGGGATGCAGTTTCAAGGTCACAGTCTTCCCCACACAGAGGTCGTGTTGCAGCTACCATGTTTAGAGAGGGGATAGCCATGTCTCTGCGCAGCTCAGGTTTCACAGTCCTGTTCTCAAGTTCAAATCCTGCACTGAGACTCAGGTGGAGCCTTGAAGAGATACTTTGAAAAGTTACAGCAAGGGGTTTCAGTTAAGAATCGGTGGAAATTGTTAGTCGGAACCGAAGAGCACAAAACTGACCTTGAACAGAGAACACGTGTATGAGGGTAGAATAAAATTATCATCAGAAGCGGTGATTCTACATCAAGTTTTCCCCTTTAACATTGACTAAAACTGCAGGTATGGATTATGCATCCTGCCCCCCACTCTACATTACATGGAAAAACAGTAGAGCACAAAGTGGCTACATCAGGCAGCACAAACATGCCTCGATTTATAAAGAGAAGCCAGGAATCCTAGAGCCTTGCATCCCCATGCGACATCATCATACAGAGAGTGAATGCTTGGAACAAGCTGCAGTTGGTCGTGGAACAGCAAACTGAAACAGCAAACTGTGGTTTGCTCCCGTCGGACCAACTAGGATTCTAAAACATACTTTGCTGACTTCAGACACAACTACAAGCTGCAGATAGTTTCAGAGAGTAGCCAAGTTGGTCTGCAGTAGAAGAGCTGGATTCGAGTCCAGTAATGCCTTAAGAGACCAACAAAGATTTTCAGGGTACAAATTGTCAAGAGTCAAAGCATCCTTCGTCAAATAAGGGAGTTTTGACTCTCGGACGTTTATACCAGTGGTCTCCAACTGTTTTGGGCCTGTGAGCACCTCTGGAATTCCGACACAGTGTTGTGGACATGGCCACAAAATGGCCGCCATCGTTTACCTGCATTCACACAAAGTGAAGATCCACCTGTGCTGTGGCACAGCCAATCAGAGCTTCAGTGGCCCATCAGAAGCCTTGCTGGGCAAAAGCCTCACAGGACCCTTCTCACTTTCTACAAACACTTGGTGGGCACCATCTTGGGGACCCCCTGGCTTATAGCCTGAAAATCTCTCTGGTCTCTAAAGGCACTACTGGAACCAAATCCAGCTCTTCAACTACAAACCAGAGTTTGTTCCCAGAGCAGAAAGACTTCTGTTTCCACCTAGTTTAAGTAGAGAAGACATATTTCCTGGCTCACTCACAGCCTGAGCAAATGGGAGACCGGTGACATGTGAATGCACCCGAGCTCATTGCACTAGCCATTAAAGAATGCAAAGAGACACTGGAGACTGCCCCCCCACCCTCCACATTTTGATCTACTCTTGAGAGCTGGATGGTTGATAACAACTGTACACAGTTCAGGTAACCAACAAGGCAGATTTACTCACATCTCAGCCCGTTCGAAATCACTGAGCTGAGCCTTCTGCCGAAGACTGTTCTGCTAAGTTGTACTCAATTCAAAACCAGTGACTGAACGAGGCCGCCAATGGCAGAACAAGCTGTCAGCCTCCCGCCTCACCATCTCTACTGAATTAAAACCAAATCCAACACAACGTGAAGAGAAGAGGAGATTGGATTTATACTCCACTCTTCACTCGGAGTCTCAGAGCAGCTCACAATCTCCTTTTCCCTTCCCCACAACAGACACCCTGTGAGGTAGGTGGGGCCGAGTGAGAGTAGAGATGTAAAATTTCCAGAAATTTTGAAGCTCGGAAAAAAACCCGTTTTTTCCGGGGGGAAACGGAAATTTCCGGAAAAACTGAAAAAAATGCTACATTAGCATTTCTTTTGTCTTTTCTAGATTGAACGTTATTCTGTTACTTTAGGAACATAAAATATGACTATGGACATTTTTACTTGGCATGAAATGATCACAACTAGCATATTAAAAATATAGTGAGCCAGTTTGGTGTCGTGGTTAAGTGCGCGGACTCTAATCTCGGAGAACTGGGTTTGATTCCCCACTCCTCCACTTGCACCTGGCTGGATGACCTTGGGCAAGCCATATCTCTGGCACAGCTGTCCTTGAAAAAGAGCAGTTTCTGTCAAGAGTTCTCTCAGCCCCACCTACCTCACAGGGTGTCTGTTGTGGGTAGGGGAAGGGAAAGGAGTTTGTAAGCCGCTCTGAGACACCTTTGGGTAGTGAAGGGCAGGGTATAAATCCAATCTCTTCTTCTCTTCTTTTTAGTGTATCCAAACAATTATTACAAACAGAATACCCACCCACATACAAAAACAAAACTGAAACCTTTTTATTTTCTTCTGACAATAGCACCCCCTAAAGGAAGAAATGCATCTTGTTCTTGCATTGGAGAGTTCAGTTTGTAACCTAGGACTTGCTTGTCCTCAGTGCACAGAAATTAGATCAATCTGATACCATATATATATATTTTAGAAATGATTTGGAAAATATTTGAACACCTTGTCTTAAAATATTTTATTCATCATGTTAAAATAAAACGTTCCATAATCAATTTCTTTTCTTTTTTTAATTTTTCCAATTTTTCGGAAAAAAACAAAAAAGGCTTCAGGAAAAAAACCAGTTTTTTTCCAAATTTTCCCAGTTTTTCCCTGGGCCTTCACATCTCTAGCTGAGAGAGCTCTAAGAGAACAGCTCTGAGAGAACTTGTGACTGACCCAAGGTCACACCAGCAGCTGCATGTGGAGGAGTGAGGAATCAAACCCAGTTCTCCCAGATTAGAGTCCACGCTCCTAACCACTACACCAAATTGGCTCTCGCCAGTTTGTTAGCAGAAAAGGCTGCCCGGCAGAAGGGAAACTGGCCACTGCAAGGAAAGAGGTTTTCATTAGGCTGTGATGGGAGGGGGTTGTAGGCTGTGAAATTGTAGAGGAGCTATTCACTTTCCTTACCGTGTAGCATAATAATATTTAATATCTTCGTGATTGTCTCCAGGATACCTGGAGGTTGGCAACCCTAGACTCTGTGCTGATGGGATCTGTCAGATATATTATAGGAGCAGGGAAGGATTTTACTCTGTCCCCGTCACGACTCAGATGGGGTGTCACCTGACGCTGCCACCACTCTGGATTTAGGTTCTCTTGAGAAGGCCCAGAGTACCCTCCCAAGACCTTCAGACCTCCCTTTAGGCCGAATAACAGGCGTGAGGACCAGGCAGAGTGAAACAAGGAAAAGGTTTATTTTATAGGAGGTCAAACAACAAGGTGCAGAATAATAACAGTAAGTGGGTGAAAAGAAATCAAATGCCCTAACGCGTCTAAATATACTTTCCCTAGCACACTATCTCAAGTGGCCTTACACTACTCACCCCTCCCTCAGGATGAGGGTTTTTCCCCTGCAACAGCCTTTCTTCTGGCTCTGCCCTCTGGAAGAAAGAACAACTCTTCCTGCTGCTCCAGAACTTTTATTCCAAGCCCTCCTTTTTTCCTATTGGTACATTTTGGCTCCAAAACCTCCCAGGGGCTTCTGGGAGTTGTAGGCCCAGCCTCACCTACTGCTAGCCAGGCTCCTTGGGTCTAGTAGGCCTCTGGTGGCACAGCCCAGATCATGACAGCCCCCCCCCCCGCCAGACCAAATCATGGGGTCCTTCCCTGGATCCCCATTGATGCGGTCTGCACACAAGATTTGGGCTGTGGTTTGCCCTTTCAACTCACTCAACATTAAAACAAAAATAAACAGGAAAACAGTACTCTGATCAACATTAAAAAGAACACAACATCAGGTTAATGCATTGCAGGTCCACCGGGGTCAAAACTCTTCTCTAATGTCTCATCATCAGTAATAGCAAGGCTTTTGCTGGGAGTAAGTTCTAAATTGGGTCTGAACCCCGCCTTTGAGTTCAGAGGTTTTGGACCTTCTGCTTTTGTGTTGGCTTCAGATGGATGCCTGGCTACTATGTCCTGTAACCTATACAGTGCTCTTTGTCTCAAATAGTCTGAATTTAGCCCATGAAGTTCATGAAAAAACTCAATTAGGACATGAGGGCGAGCCTCGTTTTGAGATGTAGCTACTTCAGAATAAATGGTGTTTTTCAAAGCTTCAAACACAGAGAGATCACTGCCTGTTTCTGGTTTGAATATTTTGATGACAGTAGTAGGATCCACGAAATCTGGCATGCTCCTAGAGCTCTCCAAAGAGTCTTCATCAAATTCTCTTCTCCTGCTGGTGTCAGGTTGACTTTCATGATGAACACTAATGAATGTTGTACTGGCACTGCAAACTCAGTCTTGAGGAACAACCGGCTCTCGTTTCCTCCACTCTGATGGCCATTTACTGGTCAGCCACTTCCTCTTCAGACTGCTTCACAACTCTTGGCTTTTCTACTCCAGCTGTGGACCTACTTTCCAAGGGCTGTGGAAATGCCATCTCTCCAGTTTTCCCAGTAGTGTTAGGTTCTAGTTGCCCATGCTGTGTTGGGTTTTTTTGGCCCCCCGGGGGGGATTTTTTATTGCATTTTTTAAATAGACTACAAACTACAATGAAAAAATAGGGAGAGGTAACTACATCTAGGGAGAAAGGAAAGAAAACCACAACTAACTAAACCCCCCAGTATAGGAGATAATAACAACATCTTATATAAATGTTAATCTTAAAATGCTAGCATTACTTTGAACATAGTCGGCTATGCTATATTTTTTGTCTTTTTATCCAATGTTTTAACCATTTAAGAGAGTCCCCAGAGCATCCCCCAATAAAACTAAAGTTTAAAGGCACAATTCAGAGTCCTTCAGCCTTTATTTTGTCTTATCTTTTCTAATCCTCAATTTATATGTACACTTGGGGGCAGCCGCCCCCTTACCAGGGAGAGAGTCCTTGTCGGAAGACACTGAGTTCAATTCGCCACTGGATTTGCTGTCATCTTCTTCCTTCTCGACCCCGGCTGGCTCTCCCAGCTGGACTCTCAGGAACTCACATGCTTTGGAAACAGAGTCAATCTTTTCTTTTTTATCTTGTATTTTGAAAATGACGCCTTCTGGAATTAACCATCTGTAAACAATGCTATTTGTTTGGAGAAAAAGAATTAGATCTTTATATTTCTTTCTCTTTTGTCTTATTTCAAATGGAATCTTTTAGAATCCTGCTGGTGTTGTCCCTGATTTTCAAGGGTGTTCCTGTTGTTGCTTTCAGGATAGAATCCCTTATATATCGCTTTGAGAACCTTGCCACTATTTCCCCAGGCAGATTATTCTTTTTGATGTACACGGAATAGGACCTGTAGACCACATCCATTTTGCTTACAAGATACTCCGCTTTCAAATCTGTAACTGGGGCTAATGCTTCACTCAGGAGTTGCTTTAGATTCTCACCTTTTGATTCTGGGACGCCTTGAAACCGTAGGACCAAATTTGCTTTCTCCATTTGCAGCTGTAAAAGTTGTGTTTCTTCCAAAGTTTGTCTCTTTTCCAGCTTTTGCACCTTTTTCTTAATGCTTCACTCAGGAGTTGCTTTAGATTCTCACCTTTTGATTCTGGGACCTCTTGAAACCGTAGAACCAAATTTGCTTTCTCCATTTGCAGCTGTAAAAGTTGTGTTTCTTCCGAAGCTTGTTTCTTTTCCAGCTTTTGCACCTTTTTCTTTACTTTTT